CAGGGAGTTTCCAAGAGGAGAAATCTGAGCACATCCCTTTCAGAATAGGCTTACTCTGTTTTAAGTTGTTCATCCAAAATTTTGGATCCCAAACACAGGCCTATAGAATAATTAACACCCCATTTTATATCGGTTTTCCTCCAAATGTATAACTGAAAACAATCAAGTTTAAATCTTATTTATATTTACAATGCAGGAAGCAGAACAATTTCAGAGAAATGTTTTTATAACATGCTGGGAAGTGTTACTACATGGTTACTCAGACCTATATGCACAAGGTATATATTACAACTCTTTTGAAAGCCACTTATACATCAAGGCTTTAAAATTTTTTGAAGTCATTACAACTTCCCATCCCAACAATATTAAAACTGCTAAAGCCACCAACCACTTCAAACAAAGAGTGATCCAAGAGTATCTGCACTCATTATGAAAGGGCAAATCTATTCTTTTCGGTGCAACTGATACAACACAAGCCTGCCTGATCAGAGTTTGCAGGGCTCTGCAAGGCACGCCACCTTGCAAAGTGAGATTTAGGTTCCAGGAGACAGCTTTCATGTCTGGGTTCATCCACGACGTAGCCAGGAGATGTCCCTCTGCTGCCCCCAACAGGAGATATGCATTGTCAGTAGGATGCCTAGGATCCAGGGGCTAGCACAGCATTCATCTGTGAACCAGCTACCTTCTGAGGAGTAGTCTGCATACAAAGCTGGATAAGACAAAGGCACTTTATAATGTAGGGTTAAATTCCCTATCTGAACAACTTAAAAGAAGGCAAGAAACCAAACACTGAAATTTAATTCAACTTAGCCAGACCCATTTTAATGGACATTTTCCCCAATGTCTGAATAGAATGGATGCTGTTCCCATGACCATCTCTAGTAACAAAAAGGGTGTAAACCTGGAGTGTCAAGAACTCTCCTCAGAGCTCATCTATTCCTACCTCCTACCTACAGAACTGGTTTGGCAGACTAGACTACGGGGAAGGCAACAGGCCCCATAAAGAAATTAGGATGCTATTGCCCATGGTCATATTCTTGATGGGTAGTGGAGAAAGGTTCCATCACCAAGAAAAGAGCAAACAGTATTTAAAGCATTTCCATGCATTAGAGCTGGTGTCTTTTCTGTCTCACCACTCCTGCCAAACTAAAAGCTTCCACTTCCACTGAAGCCAATGTATACTGCTCCCTCTTCCCCCTCCCACCCCCAGAAATACATTCTATTACATACAACTTTTCTTTCTTTACTTGCAAATAGACAGACTGCATGGAGGATGCAGTCCTGGCTGCGAAGATGGTGTCGCCAGGAGGGCTTTGGCTTCCTAGACCACGGGATGCTATTTGAGGAAGGACTGCTAGGCAGAGATGGCGTTCACCTTTCGAGGAGGGGAAAGTCCCTATTTGGACACAGACTGGCTAACCTAGTGAGGAGGGCTTTAAACTAGGTTCGACGGGGACAGGTGAGCAAAGCCCGCAGGTAAGTGGGGAACATGGAGACCTGGGAGATGGGTCGGAAACGAGAGGGAGTGTGGGCTATATTGGCAGAGAGAAAGGAGGGTCAGGACAAAACTGGGAGGAAAGATCAAACCAGTATCTTAGATGCCTATATACAAATGCGAGAAGTATGGGTAATAAGCAGGAAGAACTGGAAGTGCTAATAAATAAATACAACTATGACATTGTTGGCATCACTGAAACTTGGTGGGATAATACACATGATTGGAATGTTGGTGTGGATGGGTACAGCTTGCTCAGGAAGGATAGACAGGGGAAAAAGGGAGGAGGTGTTGCCTTATATATTAAAAATGTACACACTTGGACTGAGGTGGAGATGGACATAGGAGATGGAAGTGTTGAGAGTCTCTGGGTTAGGCTAAAAGGGGTAAAAAACAAGGGTGATGTCATGCTAGGAGTCTACTACAGGTCACCTAACCAGGTGGAAGAGGTGGATGAGGCTTTTTTTAAACAACTAACAAAATCATCCAAAGCCCAAGATTTGGTGGTGATGGGGGACTTCAACTATCCGGATATATGTTGGGAAAATAACACAGCGGGGCACAGACTATCCAACAAATTCTTGGACTGCATTGCAGACAACTTTTTATTTCAGAAGGTTGAAAAAGCTACTAGGGGGGAAGCTGTTCTAGACTTGATTTTAACAAATAGGGAGGAACTCGTTGAGAATTTGAAAGTAGAAGGCAGCTTGGGTGAAAGTGATCATGAAATGATAGAGTTTGCAATTCTAAGGAAGGGTAGAAGGGAGAACAGCAAAATAGAGACAATGGATTTCAGGAAGGCAGATTTTGGTAAGCTCAGAGAGCTGATAGGTAAGGTCCCATGGGAACAGGGCCGGCTCCAGGCACCAGCCCACCAAGCTGGTGCTTGGGGCGGCACCTGGAGGGGGGCGGCGCGGCGCTCCGGCCCCCGGGGAGAGCGGGGCCACGGCCGGGCTCGCCGCCCTCCCCCCGGCGCTCTGGCCGCCCTCCCCCCGGCGCCGCCCCCCCGGCCGGGGGGGGGGGGGGGGAAGGGGGGAGTGGCTCGCCGCCCTCTCGCCGCCCTACCCCCTGCGCTCTGGCCGCCGGGGGAAGAGCGGGCTCGCCACCCTCCCCCCGGGGCTCCGGCCGCCCTCCCCCCCGCGCCCTCCCCCCGGCCGGCCCTGTTGGGGCTCGCCGCCCTGCCCCCAGTGCTCTGGCCGCCAGGGGGAGAGCTGAGCCCTAGCCGGGGCTCGCCGCCCTCCCCCCAGCCGCTGGGGGGAGGGAGGAGCCCCCGCCGGGGCTCGCTGCCCTCCTCCCAGGGCTCCGGCCGCCCGGAGGCTTTTTTGCCTTGGGCGGCAAAAAAGCCAGAGCCGGCCCTGCATGGGAATCAAGACTGAGGGGAAAAACAACGGAGGAGAGTTGGCAGTTTTTCAAAGGGACACTATTAAGGGCCCAAAAGCAAGCTATTCCGCTGGTTAGGAAGGATAGAAAATGTGGCAAAAGACCACCTTGGCTTAACCACGAGATCTTGCATGATCTAAAAACTAAAAAGGAGTCATATAAAAAATGGAAACTAGGACAGATTACAAAGGATGAATATAGGCAAACAACACAGGAATGCAGGGGCAAGATTAGAAAGGCAAAGGCACAAAATGAGCTCAAACTAGCTACGGGAATAAAGGGAAACAAGAAGACTTTTTATCAATACATTAGAAGCAAGAGGAAGACCAAAGACAGGGTAGGCCCACTGCTTAGTGAAGAGGGAGAAACAGTAACAGGAAACTTGGAAATGGCAGAGATGCTTAATGACTTCTTTGTTTCGGTCTTCACCGAGAAGTCTGAAGGAATGCCTAACATAGTGAATGCTAATGGGAAGGGGGTAGGTTTAGCTAAAATAAAAAAAGAACAAGTTAAAAATCACTTAGAAAAGTTAGATGCCTGCAAGTCACCAGGGCCTGATGAAATGCATCCTAGAATACTCAAGGAGCTAATAGAGGAGGTATCTGAGCCTCTAGCTATTATCTTTGGAAAATCATGGGAGACGGGAGAGATTCCAGAAGACTGGGAAAGGGCAAATATAGTGCCCATCTATAAAAAGGGAAATAAAAACAACCCAGGAAACTACAGACCAGTTAGTTTAACTTCTGTGCCAGGGAAGATAATGGAGCAAGTAATTAAGGAAATCATCTGCAAACACTTGGAAGGTGGTAAGGTGATAGGGAACAGCCAGCATGGATTTGTAAAGAACAAATCATGTCAAACCAATCTGATAGCTTTCTTCGATAGGATAACGAGTCTTGTGGATAAGGGAGAAGCTGTGGATGTGGTATACCTAGACTTTAGTAAGGCATTTGATATGGTCTCGCATGATATTCTTATCGATAAACTAGGCAAATACAATTTAGATGGGGCTACTATAAGGTGGGTGCATAACTGGCTGGATAACCATACTCAGAGTTGTTATTAATGGTTCCCAATCCTGCTGGAAAGGCATAATGAGTGGGGTTCCGCAGGGGTCTGTTTTGGGACCGGCTCTGTTCAATATCTTCATTAACGACTTAGATATTGGCATAGAAAGTACGCTTATTAAGTTTGCGGATGATAACAAACTGGGAGGGATTGCAACTGCTTTGGAGGACAGGGTCATAATTCAAAATGATCTGGACAAATTGGAGAAATGGTCTGAGTTAAACAGGATGAAGTTTAACAAAGACAAATGCAAAGTGCTCCTCTTAGGAAGAAAAAATCAGTTTCACACATACAGAATGGGAAGAGACTGTCTAGGAAGGAGTACGGCAGAAAGGGATCTAGGAGTTATAGTGGACCACAAGCTAAATATGAGTCAACAGTGTGATGCTGTTGCAAAAAAAGCAAACATGATTCTGGGATGTATTAACAGGTGTGTTGTGAGCAAGACACGAGAAGTCATTCTTCCGCTCTACTCTGCTCTGGTTAGGCCTCAGCTGGAGTATTGCGTCCAGTTCTGGGCACCGCATTTCAGGAAAGATGTGGAGAAATTGGAAAGGGTCCAGAGAAGAGCAACAAGAATGATTAAAGGTCTTGAGAACATGACCTATGAAGGAAGGCCGAAAGAATTGGGTTTGTTTAGTTTGGAAAAGAGAAGACTGAGAGGGGACATGATAGCAGTTTTCAGGTATCTAAAAGGGTGTCATAAGGAGGAGGGAGAAAACTTGTTCACCTTAGCCTCTAAGGATAGAACAAGAAGCAATGGGCTTAAACTGCAGCAAGGGAGGTCTAGGTTAGACATCAGGAAAAAGTTCCTAACTGTCAGGGTGGTTAAACACTGGAATAAATTGCCTAGGGAGGTTGTGGAATCTCCATCTCTGGAGATATTTAAGATTAGGTTAGATAAATGTCTATCAGGGATGGTCTAGACAGTATTTGGTCCTGCCATGCGGGCAGGGGACTGGACTCGATGACCTCTCGAGGTCCCTTCCAGTCCTAGAATCTATGAAAAGAAACAACTGATACAGACAGCAAAGTGCATCATCCTATCCTAGGAAAGGTGGAAGAATGCTTTGGGTTAACACACATTGGCCTGTATGAGGATCAGGAGAGAAACAAATGTAAGAAGGTAGAACTGCAAAAATCAAACTAAACCAAACTGGAAAAGGCAAAAATTCTTTTGTTAAATTGGGAAAGGGGCTCTTAACTGCAGATATGAATGAACCTGGAACATACAATTAACACAAGTATATACCATTCTAGAACCATAAACTAAGATTTCTGTTTCCTTTAGAGGTGCCTTATATAAGTAGAACTATCTGAACACAGAAAGCAGGTTGCTGTTTGAGACTAATGTCACTGAATCAAATCAAAATCACTAGAGTAAGTGAAACAAGGCTCTTGGCAATAAAGCTTTACCACAAACAGAACTGCTGCAGCATGTATGTGATGCCAAGAAAGGCGAACCTCCTAACAGAGGGACTCTTCTGCAGCAAGAGAAATCAGGGTTAAAGGGCCCAGTTTCACTCTTGCATCAGAAAATGCAATTCCAAGGAAGCTAGGTCACAGTGCAAGTTCTCTTGTGCGTAAATAAGTGTGCGAGATTCAGCTTCACCTCAGTTCTGGTTTCTTAGATTCTGTGTTTAGACCCCTACCACCAGACTGACTATGTAAAAAAGCAAATGCCACATGACTTTCCTCAGGAATGTACAGAAAATGCACTTTAATCCACATCCATCTAGTCCAAGGTTACAACTCAACTGCTTTCCTAGTGCTGGGTCCATTTAATACTTTTGAGGTCAACTCCATCCTGCACCATTTCCCACAGTGGACTGTAAATAGAAAAAAATTAGATGTCAGCTGGAATGCCAAGGATAATGGTATCACTGACAATAATCAATCACAAATAAGTTGCTTCTGTATCTGTCCAAGGAACCTGATGAGCAGTAAAAAAAATTTCCCTACTGGGGGAGGAAGGTCAAGTCTCCCTTCCCCCCTCCACTCCCCCACAGCCCAGGCTGACTCAGTGACTGGGATCTGTGGGAGCGACATCGGGTATCAATGGGGGTAGGATTATTTCCTGTACATTCACTCTCCTCCCCTCACAGCTCCCACCCTCCTGCTCTTCCTCGGTCTCGATTTCCCCTGCTCTCTCCTGGCTCCAGGCCCTCGTGTCTCACCTCAGCAGCAGGAGAGATTATTATTTTGGCATAGGGGTTCCAGTCAAGTAATATGTCTTCTCTGTTTTCTCTAGTGTCCTTCAGGTGATAGCAACCCATTTGGGTGCCAGACGAGGCCCAGGATTAACCCTGGTATTTACCCAGAGAACTGGGAAGGTAACTTTTTGCATGGATTTTCACCCATTTTTGAATTTCTGTAAAACACTCCAATTCCCACAATTTTAAACATAAGAAAAACCAGAAATCAAGGGCCTTACACATTCCACAAAAGCTTAGAGGTAATGGGCAGTAATTCATTGTCTTTTAAGCTCAGTAAGGAAATGGCTCACCTCATCTCCCTCAGCCTTTTGACATGCTGTATGCACTTCTGCACTGTGTAATCTACTTCTTCTTCTGTAGTGAAACGACCAATGCCAAACCTAAAACAAAACAAAGATGTACTGTGTAGGTGCTAACATAGTGCACACATGGGAAGGTAGAACAGGAGAACAGAGTCTGCTCTGAGTGTAGGAGAGGAAACAATTTGGAAAAGACAGCAAGGGTCATATCACTGACCTTATGGATGAGTGAGCCAAGTCTTCATCAGTCCCAATTGCTCGTAACACATAGGATGGCTCCAGAGAGGCAGATGTGCAAGCACTGAGGAAAAAGGGTGAGAAAGAATTGTGCCCTTTTTTCACATAGAGCTCTTATACTAATGACATTTAACATTCTGTACTATCAGTAATTTCTACTGAAGAATATCTGATTTCTAGACTCTAAGCATCACCATAGGTCTCCATGACTCTTTACAAAACACACAATTACCCTAGGTCCCTGGGGAGAGAGAGTCAGTGAAAACAAGATGGCACAGGAAAGTAATCGGGAACTGTGGCAAGACCGGGGATTCCAGAAGCAGCAGAAGAGAAGGATGGGCAGAGGGGAAGCAGTAGCTGGGAACAAGGTTAGTGAGACAGCAGTTTGAGGAAAGAGAAGAATGCAAATATGCATATGGAGACCTCCAAGACGGACAAAGAAATCAGCTGGAGAGGACTGCAGTAGCACCACCAGGGCAGGAGGAAATGGCTCCTTCACAGGGAGAAATCTGGCTGCTAGTTAGTTCCGGCAGCAGGCAGTGCTCCACTCTGGCTCCCAGCCATAGAGATGACAAACCAGTATTCTGCCCTGTCAATAAAGGATGAGGAATCCCCCACAAAAGTGAAGGAGGCCAAGGCTGCAAGGATCGCAGCCACTACTCCCAAGAGGCATCGAAGGGTGGTGATGGTCAGTGATTGCCTTCTAAGGGGGACAGAGGCATCCATCTGCTGGCCTGACCTGGCATCCCGGGAGGTGTGCTGCCTGCCAGGAGCCCGTACCGGAGACATTACAGAGGGATTGCTGAGGATCATCCGGCCCTCTGATTACTAACCCCAGCTGCTCATCCATGTGGGCACAAACAATACTGCCAGGTCTGACCCAGAGCAGATGCAGAGTGATTACAGGGAGGGAGGGTGAAGGACTTTGGGGCACAGGTGGTGTTCTCATCTATCCTTCTGGTCAAGGGCAGGGGCCTGGGCAGAGACAGACATGTTCTGGAGGTAAATACATGGCTGAGCGGATGGTGTCACCAGGAAGGCTTCGGCTTCCTCAAGCATGGGATCCTGATCGGAGAAGGACTGCTGAGCCCAGATGGGGTTCACCTATCCAGGAAGGGGAAGAGTATCTTCGGATACAGACTGGCTAACCTGGTAGATGGGCTTTAAACTAGATTCGACAGGGGCAGGAGACAAAAGCCCATGGGCAAGTCCAGAACATGGAGATGTGGGTGAAGGGTTGGAATCTGGGGGAAACATGGACAATCGTAGAGGAGCAAAGGACAGATAAGAAGAGATACTGAGGAGAAATCTAATGAACATCTGAGAAGTCTGTATCCTAATGCAAGAAATATGGAGAATAAACTGGAATATAAATATAAACCAGAAATACTAGTGAATACGCACTATTACGACATAACTGGCATCAGAGACTTGGTGGGATAACTCCCATGACTGGAATGCTGGTATAGAAGGGTACAGCTTGTTCAGGAAGGACAGGCAGAGAAAAGGGGGAGATGGTGTTGCCTTGTATATTCAAGATGTATATGTTTGCACTCAGGTTGAGATAGAAGTGGGAGGCAGACCTGTTAAGTGCCTAGGTAAGGATAAAAGGCATAAAAAAACCAAGGGTGATGTCATTGTGTCTGTCTCCAACAGACCACCAAACCAGGAAGAAGAGGTGGCTGAGGCTTTTTATAAAAAACTAACAAAATCATCCAAAACACAGGACTTGGTGGTGATGGTGGACCAGACATCGGTTGGGAAAATAATACAGCAGGGCATAGATTATCCAACAAGTTCATGGAATGCAATGGAGACCACCTTTTATTACAGAAGGTGGAGAAAGTGAGAAGGGGAGGGGCTATTCTCGATTTGATTCTGACAAATGAGGAGGAACTAGATGAGAATTTGAAAGTGAAAGGCAGCTTGGGTGAAAGTCATCAGGAAATGACAGAGTTCATGATTCTAAGGAATGGTAGGAGAGAAAACAGCAGAATAAAAAGACAATGGACTTCAAGAAAGTAGACCAGCAAACTCAGAGAAGTGGTAGATAAGATTCCCTGGGAAGCAAGTCTAAGGGAGAAAGTTCAGGAGAGTTGGCAGTTTTTTAAAGAGACTTTAATAAGGGCACAAGAGCAAACTATCTCAATGGGTAGGAAAGATGGGAAGTGAGGTAAGAGTCACACAACAAGCAAAAAGTAGGTCAAATTACAAAAGGACAAATATAAAAATGCAACACAAGCATGTAGGGACAAAATTAGAAAGACCAAGGCACAAAACTATATTAAACTAGATTATAGAAAGGGTAACAAAGCATTTTACAGATAACTGAGAAGCAAGAGGAAGATCAAGGACAGGGTAGGCCTGTTACTCAATGAGGGGGAAAGACAACAACAGAAAATGCAGCAATGGCCAAAGTTAAATGCCTTTTTTTGTTTGTTTTTAAAAAAATATAGCAGTGATTGGACCACTAATCTAGTGAACATCAGTGTAAATGGGGTAGGATCTGAGGCTAAAATAGGAAGAGAACAACTTAAGAATTACTTAGACAAGTTACAGGTCTTCAAGTCAGGAGGGCCTGATGAAATACATCCTAGAATACTTAAGGAACTGGCTGAAGGGACCTCCAAGACATTGGTGATCATCTTTGAGAACTTGTGGAGAATGGGAGAGATACCAGAGGACTGGAAGATGGCACTATATTTGCCCATCTATAAAAAGGGGAATAAGGACAACCCGGGGAATTACAGACTAGTCATCTTAACATTGGTATCCAAAATGATAACTGATTATTTGGTCCAACAATCACTATGTAAGCACCTAGAAGAAAATAAAGTAACAACAGTCAACATGGATTTTTCAAGAACAAATCATGTCAAACCAACATAATGTCCTTCTTTGACACGGTTACAAGCCTTGTGGATAGGGTGGAAGCGTAGACTTTAGTAAGGCTTTTTGACCCAGCCTCACATGACCGTCTCAGAAACAAACTAGAGAAACACAGCCTAGATTAACCTATTATAAGGTGGGTGCATAACTGGCTGGAAAACCATACTCAGAGTAGATATCAATTAAGCTGGAAGGACATATTGAGTGGTGTCCTACAGGAAACTGTCCTGAGTCCAGTTCTATTGAATATCTTCAACAGTACACTTGCCTGTGGACGATACCAATCTGGGATGGGTTACGACTGCTTTGGAGGACAGGATTAGAATTCAGAATCTTGAAAAACTGGAGAAATGGTCTGAATTAAATAGGATGAAATTCAATATGGACAAATGCAAAGTACTCCACTTAGGAAGGAATAATCAATTACACAAATACAAAATTGGAAATGACTGCCTAGGAAGGAGTACTGCAGAAAAGGATCTGGAGTTATAGCGGATCACAAACTAAATGAGTCAACAATGTAATACTGTTGCAAAGAAAGCAAACATAATTCTGGGATGTATTACTAGGAGTGCTGTAAGCAAGAGGAGAACTAATTCTTCCACTCTGCTCGGCATTGATAAGGCCTCAACTGGAGAATTTTGTCCAGTTCTGGGGACCAGGAAAGATAGATATAGACAAAGTCCATAGAAAGTCCAGAGGAGAGCAACAAAAAATAATTAAAGGTCTAGAAAACATGACATATGAGGAAAGATTGAAAAAATTGGGTTTGTTTAGTCTGGAGAAGAGAAGACTAAGGGGGGAGAGAAGCATGATAAGTCTTTAAGAACAAGAAAAGGTATTATAAACAGGAGGGTGTTAAATTGTTCTCCTTAACCACTTTGGAGAGGACAAGTAGTAATGAGCTTAAATTGCAGAAAGGGAGATTTTAGGTTAGATATTAGAAAAAACTTCCTCAGGATAGTTAAGCACTGGAACAAATTAACTAAGGAGGTTGCTGTATTTCTGTCATTGGAGGTTTCTAAGATCAGGTTAGATAAACACCTGTCAGGGATGGCCTCGATAATACTTAGCCCTGCCTCAGTGCAGGGGACTAGACTAGATGACCTCTTGAGGTCCCTTCCACTCCTATGATTCTATAACCCTGCTCTCCTTGTGTTAGGTCAGATGTTGCCAGCAGTGAGACACAGAAAGAGGCAGATGAAAAATGAAGATTTAGGAGAACAGAGGGGGAGTAGAAAAGGAAGAGCAGAAGAAGAATTCTTCAGAGCAGATCAGGACAGAGGATGGCAATGCACCAAGGGACGCATTTCTATAAACCAAAGATCAAACATGGCTTTGAAAACCACCTTTTGACCCCTCAAGTACTAAGAGAATCTGAAAAGTGACAAATGTAAAGGCCTGTGTAGTGGGGCGGCTGCCCCACTCCCTGAGAATTTAGGCTGCAGCAGGCCAGTGGGCCTGCACAGATACACAGCCAATAAGAGAAGGGCTTATTGGGAGCCAATCAGAGCCCAGATTGGAGGCAGCCAATCAGGGCCAGGCTCAGCCCTATAAAAAGGCTGCTCACTGAGGGAGCAGGCAGTCTGTCCCAGGCCTTTAAGAAGGGAAGGTCTGTCTCCAGAGGTGGGAAGACTAGCACCTGGGACAGCGCAGTGCTGGGCAGGCCCAGGGGAGCAGAAGGGAACTCCAACCTGGTGTCTCCCAGGCTGCAGGCCCTGAGGGGAAGGGCCTAGCCGGTGCGAGGGGCTGAAGGGGAAGCGGCCCAGGGACGTGGACAGATGGAGGGAGAGAAGGAGGACAGGACGGCTGCCACTAGAGGGTCCCTGGGTTGGGACCTAGAGTAGTGGGTGGCCCTGGGTCCCCCCCTTGCCTTACACCTGGCTGATGGGAGTGGCCGTCTTGGGCTGCACCAACCCCCTGCCAGGGGGGTGACTTTGAGGATGCAGTTGCCCACATTGGCTGGGGTGCAGAGGGACAGCTGATTGATCCCCCCCCCCCCCCCCCGGAAGGGGGTGAGGCTGGACTAACAGGTACTGCCGGAGGGCAGTGGCTCGAAGAGGACGCCACGAGTTGGGAGCAATGCGGGTCCACACGCCAACCTGAGGCTGAGACAATGGACGGGACACCACCAGGAGGGGGCGCTCCATTGGACTGAGCTAATTCCTGAGGATGACCAGCAGGGGGCGCTGGGTGGTGAGTCCCAACACCGTTACAGCCTGGAATCCTGAGTGAGACTATACTCAGCATTGCTGCAGCTTACATCACACAAAGGACATCAAAAGTGGGTAAATATCATTACCCCCATTTTACAGAGGGGAAACCTGAGGCACAGAAAAGGAAGCTCTTTTTATATACTAACAAAGCAAAATCTAAGTAATGAAAAGGATTCTAATATAGTAAAAATGGTCCATGTCTGTTTAAAAAAAAAAAAAAGGGGGGGGGGGGGGGAAGAGAACCCAAATCCGCATGAAGTTTGTGGTCCTTCAAGGAAGGGAAGGACTCCTAGAGTTAGCCACAGCTAGATACTGTACAGGCAGCTCCTTGGCTAACCTGCAGCCCCTGGATACAGCCAACACACCTCTTCCCTTAACCTGCAACACACCCAGCACGGGTAGAGCAGGGGTTCATGTGAACAAGTTCCCACGCTGATCACCTGCTCAGTAGTTTTGCAACATGCACAAATGGAAAGATGTGGACTAAGATGACAGCTCTAACTGCAGGGCCTCTTGACAGGGTTGTATTTAGTTTCAGATGGATTCGGAAAGTCTTTTCCTTTCGAACTGCTCTGCTTATTAGAACCAACACATTTCTGGTTGATAAATTTGCAGCTCAGACCATTACTCTGAAAAGCAAAGTAAAAATGGCATCTTTGTATTCTGCAGACTTGCTCTCCATGTGCATCAGATCTGCTGATGTTAATGATAATGATAAAAAGATTTTACTACTGTCAGCCCTGCAGAGTCAGAGCTCTGAGAAAGTGCACTGGATTCTCTTACTGCTTGTGCATCAAACACAGGAATTGTTAACTACTTTCCTTAGTGGGGTTGCATATGCACCCCTACAATCTTCAAATGATGCTCACTGTGAAAGTTACTAGTGAGCCCGAGCATTCGTTATGTCAGCCAGCGGCCATTAGGGGGAAGCAGACACCTTAAGGACACAGTAGCCTGAACTTTTCAACTGTTTTCCCTTCAAGGCCTTAAGGTAGTTAGAGCTGGTCCCAAGCTGGTTTTCACTGACCAGATAGCAAAAGTACGGGTCTGACCACCACCAATCAAGTGTTAACACTGCAAGGACCTTGGTCTGAATATGTATAAAGGATCTGTAAAATGTGTGTAAGACAGAGTTTTTGTACTAAGGTGCAAAGCTCTCCTTTCTTCTGCAGAATAAAGCAACTCTTCCTTATCCCTGTCTGGCTGTTATTGGCTCTCAGCTAGGTGGACCCGATATTTCGGTAACATCACCATTATTCCTGTGAAATTCTACTGAAGGCCATGAGGTTACACAGGTGCAACTGAGGACAGCATTTTGCTGGAGAATCATCATTACCAGAGGTGAAGCGCATAAAAAAAAAAAAAAAAAAAGTCCAGCTTGACTCTCAGATTCCAGGTGGAGTCTGCAAGGCTGGCAGTTAAAAGTGGATTTTTCTACTTGTAAACTGAACAGGTCTGATGTGGTGACCCAAGGAGCCATTTTTAGAGAGTCCCATCTCAGAGTACAGCTGCATTTCAGACTGACAGAGCCAATAAAGGGCATAGAGGTGCCTACTCCCAGATGTGCGATTCCATCAGCAGACAGCATTCCCTCTCAAGAGTGCTTTAGCAAAAGCTTCCTTTTCTGCCCCAATTTTCCACACTTACCTTCCTGAAGACAGAGCCACGTCTTTCAGAGCCATCAGCAGACTCTCTCCTTCCACGTACGCAAAAGATAAATTGATGCAGCCTGCATAGTTTAAAAGAAGAGTGTCAGCTGAACTCCGGGGAAGTCCTAACCCACATCAGAGGGGGGCACCATTCTACTGTACCAGGTTGAGCCAAGTTCCACTGGGCTCCCTGCATGCAGACTCAGGTTCAAGGTGGGGCAGGCAGAGGTCAGAGGGCCTGTAGGACTGGCCATCAAGGCTGCGGAGTCCTGCAGGATTTCTCTTCCCTTGCCTCTGCATAGTGACTGTCCTAATCCCTATTTCAGTCACTTGGCCTGAGTCCTGGAACAGGCTATAGACCAAAGGGAAACAGGCCAAGGACTCTGCAGCTCACTGGAACTAAACCCCATCATTCCTGAAGTGCACTGACATACCTGCAGCAGCTGCTGGGTTTATATTAACTAGGAGTTTTTACTGAATTAATAACGAAATAAAGTCTGTGCCCCTGGTTATTCATTCTGGTACTAAATCCAACACAGACTTCAGCTGTGGCATTTAAACTTTTTTATTTGCCCCCAAATTTTCAAACTGTCTCAGTCTTTTATACTGACAGGGTGTAATTGCACAGGGGAAGCTGTTACAAGAGAACAGAATGCTTCCATAAAAGCATCAGGGGCAACAAGATGTCTGGCAAAGCCAGAGGGATCACCAGAGCTAGTCTGACCTCTTGTAGATCACAGGCCACCAACACCACTCCCACACTAAACCCAACAACAAAAATGAGACCAAAGTATGCCCACCCATAGAAGCCTAGACTTCTATGTGCCACAGGCAGAGAACAGGAGGGACCGAGGTGCCCCAGTGCCTGAGGCCCCTCCAAAGGGGGGCATTAAGTGAGATATACTCAGATAATCTTGACACGTGACCCGCACCCACACGTTGCAGAGGAAGGTGAAAAAAATCCAAGTGACGGCCAGTCTGGCCAGGGACAAATTCCTTCCTGACCCCACATATGGCGATGAGTTAGACCCTGAGCATGTGAGCAAAAACCAGCCAGCCAAGGACCTGAGAGACAGAACAGGGTCATGGCTTCACTAACCATTCACAAAGCAACCAGTCACCCCATCCCATATCGCCACCACCGGATCCAGACAACTAGCCAGATGTCTGTTAAAATGAGCAGCAGTGAAAGTTTCAACCTTTACTTTTAAGGTGCTATTATTAGGGCTGAGCATCAACACATCATTGAGATGAGTGGGGCAGTTTGTAGCTCTCAGACATACAGCATGAGGCTGCCTGCAATCTCAGGAAGTCATCACCGTATTGGTTCACATTAAGGGACCTTCTAGAACGTTTTCATCTCAACCAGAAGGGTTAAAAACTTTTATTTACAAAATAACAGAAAAAGCAGAGTTTGCAGGAAGGGGTGGATTCTGTAACCGAGAAATACGAGATTCTGCTAATACCTGGATAGTGATGCTCTGGGTCTCCATTCATAACCACATCTGGAATTTCAGTCATTATTTTTGTAACGAGTCGGTCCGCCAATACAGAGATTCGCTTATAGTCATACTAACAAAAGAAAGAGAGAGATTGATCAGTCTAATAAATGGCTGATGGGTTCAACTCTCCCTCCTTTACCAACCACACACAATTACCACCCTGGGCATGGACATCAGTACTTGGAGTTGGTTGGACTATGGCAAGACAGACATTAAAGACTTATTTTTTAAAAAGCCTCATCTCTGGTACCCTTTTAAAAACAACTCTGAGTTAGTAGTTTGGTATTTGCCAGCTCAGCCTGCTGCCCAAAACAAACCAAATTATCAGTTAAGAAAACTTTACCCATAAGAACTATCAAGTGAAGTTTCATATAAACACAAAAGGTTTGAGTTTCAATATTAGCACTCTTTAGATAATGGTTAAAGTGATAGAGTAGTTTGCAGTATGACAGAGCGCTCCTGTTTTGCTACGGTCAGAAATGCCCATTACATAATGGAGATGTCCGCCTCACTATGGCAACTAGGAGGCTATCCACACTGAGTTATGTGCACCCAGTTCTCTTTCTGAAGAGACGCCTGCTGGATTCAGTAATAAGAGAATTGCTGATTGTCTAGAAACTACAGTATGACTGGAAGGACCAAGGTCCCCCAAGGCATGTCCCCTGCAATTTCAGGAAACTGCATATATCCCACATGCTCAAAGATGATTTCCTCTGCCTTTCAACTTCACCATAATTAACTGTGACAGGATGGCAATGGCCCTTTAATAGAGAAGAGGCCAGAGCACTTGACTCATCGGCTGCCTCCTAATTGGGTTTATGCACTGGCACCTGGGGCACACCAAGGTTCAATTCAGGCAGGTGGGAGCTGCCATAGCTACGAGGCTGTAGTGGTTCCTGGGAGAAGGCTGAAGAGCAGCAGTGGGGTTTGCCTGCTGATCTTCCCCAAGTCAGAGAGCTGAAGCTGAGGGCCAGAGAGGGCTGAAGGCAGGGAGCAGTGGGGGTTTACCTGTGAAGTCTCCAGACTGGAGGGAGAGATAGCTGAGGGCCAGCAGGAGTGAGGGATGACCTCCCAACAGAGAGGCTCTGGGGGATCCCCCTGGGAAAATCAGGGCTGCAGTCCATCTGGAAGGGCTAGGGTGGCTGTCCTGGTAAAAGGGCAGGAGAGGCCCAGAGAAGAGACTGGGTGTGGTAGAAGATGCTGGAGAATGGTATCTGCTATGTTGATGGATTAGAGGATATGAGATACTTAGGACTACATGCCTGGAGGTGATAAATGGACTACGTTTGGGGACTTTTTTTATGGGCTATTTTGTACTATGCTTATAATAAACTTGCCCCAAGCAGGGTATTAGTGAGTCAAGAAAATGTCCCGTGGAGTTCTGGGGACTCTGAAGAAGGGAAACTGAGACAGGCACATCTATCATGCTGCAGCCTGCTGCAGGAGGGCGCTCTAGGCAGGGCTTTGTTATGATATCAATCCACCCAACATTTCTTACATGTGTTCCTCTGACAGAAAAGATTTTCCTCTGAGCAGCATGTGGATAATCTAACAAGCTGTTGGTCAGGTAAAACAATTTGAAAACTATTAAGTGTTTAATTTTTGAAAAGTATTCCTAGGTTTTTTTTGGAACGTCTACCTCAAAAATGGCTTGGCACAGAAACTCCAAAATTAGTCTACCTTGTTGTCCTCACTGAGGACTGGGCCTTTTGATTATTTCTGGAAAATGTGACTGATTGTCACTGAAATCTAAATTCTCTAACTCTGTAATCAGACAACCCTATTATAGACAGTTGTATACTATGGATTTTCCTTCCAGACCTTGGAGAATTTTACTGACTCTCTCAAGTTCTCTGGCAATGACTCGCATAGGGTTTATAAGCTCTGAAGAAGCTGATCCTTCCACCAGATGTGGATAGCATGAGCCGCCTATTGGTTATTTTGAACCAGAGATGTACACTGGGAGGAGGGGGGAGAACTCTGGTTCTGGCAAAGCCTATCTGCACCACAGGCAGACCTCTCAAGCACTCCACATTAGGTGGCTCCCTCTGCATTCAGGGCAGATTGCTTCTGCTGTTCTAATTCAATCACAAACTTTGCACTTGTTTGGCCCCTCTTCCTCTACCACCCGCCAATCCCTCCTGTAAAGGAGCAGAGGGAGGGACCAGGTGGTGCAGAAGCTAACTGTTTTTGATGGAGCAGAGTGGAGTCTATACATGTCCCCCAGGGAGAGGAAGGAGTGGAGCAGGCCCTGAGCTGCCATGCTCTTCACAGGCAGAACAAAGGATTGGGGGCTACTCCATGCCCACCTCCCCTCTTGCAAAAATATCAGTTCAAGCTGCTCTTGGGTCTCTCCCTCAGAGGCCTCTCTCTGCTCCTTGAAATGGGGTGAACCAAAGTAGCAGCAGCTAGGAGCGTTCTGGATGCCACAATGGCACCAGCAGCAACAAAGGAGCCAGCAAAGGTAGAGCCCAGGATACATTTCATTTCATTTAGTTGAGGACAGCATTACTTTGTGCCAGGAGGGGCAGTCTTAGCTTATTGGGGAAAACCCCCTCCAGGGAGAAGGGCAAGAGCAGGGAGTAATTCCACACTTTCAGTCATTTGTCCCACATTTGGGTGGCTTGTGCTGTACATTGGCAGGCTTGAATATTGAGAGGTTTGACTGCAGGTTCTGGTAGGCATGCCCTGGGCGTGTGGTGATTATACATTCTGCAGAAGTAGGAAGAGCAATCAGAGCTGAGACTGCAGAACATACAAATTCTGCAGGAGCGTAGCCTCCAACAGAGCTTCCGTAGACTACAGAGCTTAGATGACTAATCGTTGCCTGGCTGGAATGGGCTTGGGCTCCATGGACAGGTTTCCTGCGGCTATGTTATATGTTCATATAAATGCACTTAGTCTATATAAAACAAATAATCTCTGAATTGTAAAATGATTTTTACTCCCCAATTATGAGGAGCGCATTGGCACTCATATGATTTGGCATGATTCAGCAGTAGCAGGGACCTGAACATGGAACCTAAAAACATGCCTTTCCTGCCTGAGTTAAAGAACCACAATCCTTACTTCAAAGGCTGTAGTCAATTCAAACTTTTTTATATGGTTTAGGCACTAGAATGGGACAGATGGCCACACTGTTAGCATGGCTTACACAAGCCAGTATGACTTGGTTCCCATACCAGGTTTTCTTGTGTTAACTTTGATTTGTAATAAGCTCAGATATTACATGCATTGTAAGAACTGAGACAGGCTGAGCAGACAGATGAGTACAGTAAACACACATACCCAAGTTAGTGAAATATCAAGTGGGTATAAACAGTTTTGAGACTTATACCCCCTATCACCACCACACTGGCTGACAGACACCCCCAACCCCCACCCTGCCACCCATGGCCTCCCACTAGTTGATCTTCAGTGCAACCAGGATTTTTCCAAGGGGCGAGATGAACAGAGTGGGGTGAATATTTGAGAGTGGAGTCGTATTTTAATGCAGACACGATAGGTAATATTTTCAAAAGCACCCCAGTGACTTAGGAGCACAAGTCCCATTGACTTACAGTGAGGCTTAGACTCTTAAGTGCCTACAACACGTAATGGAATTTAGGCACATATGACAGGGTACAGTTATGTCTACTTTGTATTGCTCTGTAATAAAATACTGAATTGTTTATGCACAAAGAGCCCCTTTTACTATCAGTGAAAGTATAAGGCACATAACTTCATGCATGGGACACATTCACACTCCTTTGGGGATGCTGTGCTCACATATATATTGTCTAAAAATGTAAAAGGAAACAAGGCTCTTCCAGATTTGTGGGGGGGTTTTTGTCTGCAAAACTGTTGCAGAAAACCAATAGATTGAAACCAGTCTAAAGCAGAAGTGGTTTCAAGATCACCTTCCAATCCCCCAGAAATGTCTGCAGGGAAGACTTCAAGGGGCTCACTCAAATCTACATCAGGAGAATCACTTTAATCTTCAGTCTCAACAGTGAGAATCAGAATCCAGCCTGCCAATATTGCAGGTGTACATGCTGGAAAAGGACTTCTTTGGAGTGAAATGTGGTCCCATTAAAGGGGCCAATGGAAAGATTCATTACAGCCCATGCATAATGGGCAGGAAAGAATCTAAGAACATGTCATGTACTATTATATAGGAACATGAGACAGAATTGATCTCCATATACCTCCATCTCTTGTTGAGACACTTCACACGCTGCCCCAAGGCCAACTGCTAAAGGTGTAGGCACAGTCCCAGATCGCATTCCTCTCTCTTGGCCTCCCCCACTCTGTAAGGGTTCCAACCTCACCCGGGGCCGACGACGAATATAGATGGCACCAACCCCTTGAAAACAAACAAAGAAGCTGGGCCTGTTCAGGACATATATACTTTTGAACTTACCACAAAGGATACCAGCACTGAAAGAGACCACCTCCTTCTCCTTCAAGAACTGCTCATCTGGATCCCTGTCAGGGATCCGGGGGGAGGAGAGAGAGAGAGAGAGAGAGAAGCACCCACAGGTGCATGAACTCAGAATCTTCCAGAAACCAGTGTGCACTGAAGCTGTTCCTCCCCTGGACAACTGTCCCCTCCTGCATGGTTCTGAGTGTCAGAGAGAGAGGCCTCAACCTCTCCCCAGTTTGCTTTGGCAACAAAAGGTTCAGTGTGCTCAGAGCACAACATCCCCAGTGCTACTCTAATCATTTCCCCACTTTTGGATGTTACTGCCTGTATATGGTTAACTGGAAGTATTTTGTTGCCCATGCTGTTGTGGGCACAGTCTGCTTCGGTTGCTTCCCCAAAAGTGGTCTTGCTAGGCTGATTTTTGTGTGTAGATATTCTTACTTCCTTAGCTCCATCATCCAATCCTTTCCGTCCCGAGGCAGAACTCTCTGATTGCAGGCCAGGAATCTTTCCAGAGGGTCTCTCACTTTCTGTTTCTGGGGGCTGCTCATCAGATGAGCTGCTCTTCAAGGAGCTAATTTGACAGTTTTGAAAGACACTTTTGCACCTCGAGCCACCCTTCCCTCATTGAATTAACTTCTAGTCTCACACAGGGGAGACTGGTGCATTTCCCACCATTGTGTTTCCATGGCACCAAACATTGCCACCAAAAGCATGGTGGTAGTGACAATTTTTCCTCAGAGGCAGTGGCATACACATCTGCCATCTGATTGGTTCTATCTGTTTATTGAAAGTACTTGTCCAGTCTCCAATGCTGTAGTGTTTGAACACCTTACAATCTTTAACATATTTATCCTTCAAACACCCTGTGAGGTGGGGCAGTGTTATCTGCATTTTACAGATGAGGAGCTACGCACAGAGAGGTTAAGTCCCCTGCCCAAGGTCAATTATTATCTCACCTACCTTGTGTTTCTATCTTTTATTGCACCGACTTCTGTTGGTGAGAGAGACACGCTTTCAAGCTACACAGAGCTGAAGAAGTTGGTCCAATAAAAGATATTACCTCATCCCCTTTGTCTTGCTAATATCCTGGGACCGACACAGCTACAACAACTCTGTGTTGCTTGAGGTTACACAGGAAGGCCATTGCCGAGCAAGGAACAGAATTTATGTGCCTCCCACCCCTAATCTAGTACCCTATGCACTGGCCCAAGCTTTTTCTGAATAGACCACATTTGCCCCACGGTGTGTCTTCAGTCCTCAGGAAAGTGTGCTCATCAAAAGGCAATGTCTTGGCAGACTTCTTGAGCAGAGTTTACAATCAACAGAATGAGTGGCCCCTCAAAGATTCAACTTTTCATCACCCATTCCAAGGGTGATGGGCAAGCCACACCTAGATCTCAATGCCACCAAGAAAGCATCAGGTATCTCCAGTTCTGCTGTAGGGACAGGACCCAGTATCACCAGTCACTTTTTCTTCTGGACTGGGGTCAGGAGTCCTATGTACATTTACAGAGTTAGGCAGGATGGGTCCAGGATGCTGCTGGTAGCCTGGGTAGTTTTCCTTTTCTGACCCGCCTGGGACTGCGGTCAGAATCACAAGCCCTGGACCCCAATCAATCAGGTCTCTTGTCTCAGGATTGGTGATATTCTCCACCCAAATCTAAATGCTCTCTGGCTAACAGCTTGGCTTCTGGATTTCTGGGATCACTATAACGGTCTGCTAGTGTTTAAAAGATGCTATTGGAAAGCAGGAAGCCTTTAGACCAGACAGACCTACTCACTAATAAAGAGGAAGACATTCTCTATCTGGGCAACTCATGAAGGAGTAGATCGGATATGGTCCTCCATCGCTTTTGTCTTGGAGTGTACTTGAAGAAAATTCAGACTGTTTGAAGTGTATGTGGCTACATCTCATCTCTCTTCCCCCACCCCTCCAAATGCACAAATTGACAATCTTCATTCCCCTTACAATACCCAAATTTCTGAAAGGCTTCCCCCATATATTTCCTCCAGCACACAAACAACCTCTGCTATGGGATCAGCATCTTGTTCTCATAAAGCTTGTGGGACTGTTGGTACAGACAACAGTTTTAAAAATATTTGTACATCTCTCTGAAGACAGCATTCCTCATAACACCAGCCAGAGCTATCGAGATACAGATTTGATGGCAGATCCTCCCTACACCACATTCCATAAGGATAAAATAGTCCTGCACTCTAACCCCAAATTCCCATCTAAAATGGTCTCTGGTTTCTGTTCAAACAGGCTATTAGCCCATCTGAATTTTTCCTCAAACTTTTCATTCATACCCAGGGAGGTCAGGCTCCACCCTGTAGCCATCCAGAGGCTCAAATTATACATTAGAAGCAAGAGGAAGACTAAGGACAAGGTAGGTCCATTGCTTAATGAGGGGGGAAATGGCAGATGTGCTAAATGCCTTTTTTGTTTCAGTTTTCCCCAAAAAGGTTAGTAGCGATTGGACATCTAATGTAGTGAATGCCAGTGAAAGAGAGGCAGGATCAGAGGCTAAAATAGGGAAAGAACAAGTTAAAAATTACTGACAAGTTAGATGTCTTCAAATCACTAGGGCCTGATGAAATCCATCCTAGAATACTCAAGGAGCTGACTGAGGAGATACCCGAGCCATTGGCGATTCTCTTCAAAAAGTCATGGAAGATGAAAGAGATTCCAGAGGACTAGAAAAGGGCAAATAAAATGCCCATCTATAAAAAGGGGAATAAGGACAACCCGGTGAATTACAGACCAGTCAGTTTAACTTCTGTACCCGGCAAGATTATGGAGCAAATAATTAAGCAATCAATTTGCAAACACCTAGAAGATAATAAGGTGATAAGTAACAGTCAGCATGGATTTGTCAAGAACAAACTGTGTTAAAGCAACCTAATAGCTTTCTTTGATGGGTTAACAAGCTTTGTGGATGGGGGGGGGGGGGGAAGAAGCGGTAGATGTGGTATATTTTGACTTTAAGGCTTTTGATACTGTCTCACATGACCTTCTCATAAACAAACTAGGGAAATACAACATAGATGGAGCTACTATAAGGTGGGTGCATAACTTGTTGAAAAACCGTTCCCAGAGGTTCACAGTCTACCTGGAAGGGCATATCGAATGGGGTCCTGCAGGGCTCAGTTCTGGGTCCGATTCTGTTCAATATCTTAATCAATGATTTAGATAATGGCATAGAGAGTACACCTATAAAGTTGGCGGACGATACCAAGCTGGGAGGGGTTGCAAGTGCTTTGGAGGATACGATTAATATTCAAAATGATCTGGACAAACTGGAGAAATGGTCTGAAGTAAATAGTATCAAGTTCAATAAGGACAAATGCAAAGTACTCCACGTAGGAAGGAACAATCAGTTGCACACATACAAAATGGGAAATGACTGCCTAGAAAGGAGTACTGCAGAAATGGACTGGGGGTCATAGTGGACCACAAACTACATATGAGTCAACAGTGTAACACTGTAGCAAAAAAAGCAAACATTCTGGGATGTATTAGCAGGCGTCTTGTAAGCAAGACACGAGAAGGAATTCTGCTCTACTCTGCGTTGATTAGGTCTCAATGGGAGTATTGTGTCAGTTCTGGGCGTCACATTTCAGGAAAGATGTGGACAAACTGGAGAAAGTCCAGAGAAGAGCAACAAAAATGATTAAAGGTCTTGAAAACATGATCTATGGGGGAAGATTGAAAAAACTGGGTTTGTTTAGTCTGGAAAGAGAAGACTGGGGGGACACGATAACAGTCTTCAAGTACATAAAAGATTGTTACAAGGAGGAGTGAGAAAAATTGTTGTTCTTAACCTCTGCTTCTTTCCTATCCTCAATAGGCTTAAATTGCAGCAAGAGTAGTTAAGATTGGACATTAGGAAAAACTTCCTAACTGTCAGGGTGGTTAAGCACTGGAATAAATTGCCTAGGGAAGTTGTGGAATTTCCATCATTGGGGATTTTGAAAAGCAAGTTAGACAAACATCTGTCCGGGATGGTCTAGATAATACTTAGTCCTGCCATGATTGCAGGGGACTGGACTAAGTAACCTCTCGAGGTCCCTTCCTGTCCTACAATTGCATGGTCTCCATTCCTGGACTATGCAAGGCCAGTATTTAGCATTCTACACGCACTTACACACAGCTTTACTCCTTTAAATTTGCCTTCTAGATTGCTCTCCTGAATTGAGTGTTCCATGCTGTAATCACTTTTCACCAATGCTCCTCAGCTTCACCTTCTGGAGGGTCAATACAGCTTGTTCCACTCCAAAGAGTGGGGATCCATATGGACAATTGCCAAAGGAGAAAAATTAACACACGGTTCTCAGAGATGATCACCTTCTACACTCCCTCCCTATTTCAAGGATTTGAGTTAAGGATTTCTAAATCAGTGGAAGGAATGGCATACTTGTGTTCTCTTGGATTGCTGACACTGGCCCTATCACACTGTGGCTTTACAGCAACACTGTCAACATCAGAGCTACTTCACACCTATCTGAAGTCTCCTTCTAAGCCACTCAAGTGGGGCCACTGGCTGCAAACCTAAATTTGTGTGTCTGACCTTCTCCCCCAAATCCATTCACCCCCTAAAATCCTTCTCCCCCAAATCCATTCACCCCATGATGGCGGCAGGAATCCAGTCCCACCGGGGTGGGGGAGAAGTAGTAAGGTGTTCAGAAATAGTGCACGTATTAGTGGAGGAAGCTGTGGAATAAGCAACAAAATATTTCCTGTGAAACAAGAGGAGGGGTAGAACCTGAACCAGATCCCTCCCAGGGCAACAGTGATGGAGCAAAGCATTTTGAGTCTCCAGGGGGCTCCAGTTACCTTAGAGCTCTCAGTCAACTCAACACAGCCCTGTCTGGACTTTTGCCCCATGTGGAACATGAGCAGCTAACACTACATGAGCCTTGCAGCCTGTCCACATGGTTGATGGTGGGCAGGCACGATCCAGATGCCCACTGCAGGTTTGGCAGCACAGCCTGAATGGGCCCTTCATGACATTTCTGTCTGTCAGAGAAATTCACTTTCTACAGCCCAAGTAATGCTAAGATCACTAGAACAGTAGGGTTGGAGAAAACTGTTTCTGCTTTGTTTTACTTTGGGCACTTTGTGTTTAGTTAGTTCCACTGTTTAACCTGTATATTCAGACAGCCTCCCATTTATGTGAGGGGAGAGAAACATTTTATAAATAGGAAAATATGATTGTCAGAGCACAAGAACTGACAGTAAGACTATGGGAAAGGTGTAGCACCAAACTTTTAATTCTGCCTAGCTGTTGAGTGAGTCACTACTATCAGCTAAGAGAACACTCTGAAGAGGTACTGTGCACTGATGGAACCTGTTTGCTTCCCAACAGCAGAAAGAGAGTATGGATTAAGGCTGTGGCAGAAAGGAGACACACAGGCCTTAGCACACATGTGCTCTGTCAGAGACTTCATGCTAGTCACAGGGCCCTTTGGAAAATTTTGCCTCTTTTGCATTAAAAAAAAAAAGACAAAAAATACTAGAATATATAATCCAAGTATGCTATGATTGGTTAAATGATTACTGAAAAACTCTATTCATTCAAGAAGAGTATGACGGGTTTATAAGTTATCTGAACAATTCACAGAATGCATGCTGAAACAAAGTGACCCCAAGACAAGCTTGGAAACATCAATCCCTTAGAAAAACAATCAATCAATACCTTTTGGACCATAGATTTTATGGCCACTGATGCTCATTAGGTCAATTTTCATATCATTGACATCCATAGGGATTTTACCAACTGCCTGCGCAGCATCGGTGTGGAAGAAAACCTTACGAGAGCTGCAGATCTGACCTGGGATAAGAACACCACAACAGCAAGAAACAAGACAGTTAGTTACTTATCTCATTAAATGCATTAACGTACCTGAAAAGTGTCACCTTGCAGGGAGCAGGAGCAGTTTTGTGGGGAAAAGGGAGAAGAAAGGAGTACTCTTAGGTTGTTCTAATTTTTTAGTCAGTTGTCTATGGACTGTTTTGCAGCTATTCCAGCGGACACCCAAGCTTAGTTGTACACGGCTCGAGGCTAGAACTAGCTGAAATTTAGAGGCAACAGAAAGGCTACAAGTTGCTTCCTTATCATAGAAGTTAGAGACAAAAATGTCATCTTGTCAAATGCAGGACTGTCCCCTATGGAACTACAGTGCATGGCTGAGTTTACTCTTTTGTCTTAAGCGATGGGGGCTTCTATCACTTCCCTTGGAAAAGTCTACTCACAACCTGGCAGATCTGCCTTTAGAAGTTCTCCTGGTAGTCCACCTAGATTTTTCCACTTCTCAATTCCCTTTTATCTTAAGAATATCCCATTTATCAGGCTAATATAATTTCTCTCCTTCATTGGTGTTCATACTCATCAAGTATCTGTATGCTTATGATCCATTCCCCACTGTGTTGTCACTTAGCCAACTTCTGCAAATTTAGCTTTTAATATTTACTCAAAAAACAGAAGCAATACTCTCAGTTCCCACCTCACTGTGGTTGCTCTTCTCTGAACTTTCTTCAGACTGACAGTAACTTTCTGGTGCCCAGAAGTGAGCAATATTCCAATTGTAGCTGCACCATATCCGCAGAGAGAGAAACTATTACCACCCTATGACATGATGGGCCTCCGGGCAGAGTGACCAACTGTGATCTTTTTTTCCTGCCAGATCATTTGATCCGCAGCTGACTCATTTCTAGGTCTCATTTTGCACGACTATTCCCTAGGATTCTCCAACACACAATATGTTTATTTCAGATTATTGTGAACAAGTAGTAATTTTGGCTGCCAATAGCAAAGCTTTGCTTTAAATTGCAAAAGCCAGGTAGGAGCAGAAAACAGTGCACCTCACTCTCATTATAAGGCTACGTGACTGTAACAACTCCCCGTTAAAAATATCAGATGCAGTTTTAGTTTACATTTTTAAGCGATTTAAGAACATAGTTTGAGACAGCAAAACCATCATCAAAACAGTCTCAGACAAGACAGGCCAATGGATGGCTTCTGATCCTTCAAAACAATGTAGCTTCCTTAGGGTCCAGTTTCCTTACACCTGATATTACACCAATATGCCTTTTTAGTACTATTAGCCAAAGTATATTTCATATATATATTGCACACGTTATTGATATGTATTACACATCAGATCAACATTATATAATCTTAACTTTAAATTGTATTATGCTCACTCACATCATCAAGAGATCCCCCCCCAACACCCTGCAAAATTAAATATAGCATCTGGAATTAGTGAATATAAACCCTAACAAAATCAAGATACATGAGTGTTCTATCCTGGTACTAAGTTGGGAGTGCCTTCATGGCCCAAGTGGTTTGGAATACTGTGTTCAAAAGCAAGAGATAAGGGATACACTGGTACCAAAAAAAGAAGCTAAAAGCTAATTGATTGGTGAATTTTAGCCTTGGGTGACATACAGAGTGGTTTTAACTTGTAAACAAGTAACTATAAATACAGCTAGTTTGTGGAGCATATTTTGGGGAGCATACCTTTTATATAAGGTCATTTGGCATGCTGTGAGAAACAGCTTCCCAGAATGATCGGTAATGTAGTGACTCTTTTTCCTGTACTGTCAGCCAATTTTATTGCTAAAACTGGGTAAGTTTGGTTATTTGGTCTCCTGAACATTTTTCATAATGAACCACATGTATATACAAAGCAGAAGATACCATTTTTCAAGTCAGAGTCATTTATATTAGATTGCTGGAAGCCAGTGCCTACTTACCAATGTCACTAATTGGCTGCTTTACACCTATTTCATTGTTCACAGTCATTATGGACACCAAGCTTGTGTCTGGTTGGAGCGCATCCTCCAGTTCCTGGTGAAAACATTGAAAAGACACAGATGTAGGGCCCAACGTAATTAAAAGTACAAGCAAAAGCCGCCTACAGTTTAGTGTTGGGATGCTGTTAAAATTGACTAAAACCCAAGGCCTAAAAACCAGAACACCTAAAATATTTAACAGGAAAAACACTGATATGATTTGGCTATCCAAAAGTACAAAGTTTTTGGACTTTGAGTAAAATAAAAACCCTGACAAATTTGTGTTTACAGTAGATAAGAAACATTGACATTGAACTAAAGAATCACATAGTGTACTTTCTAAAATTCCCCTTTTAACAGATTAAGGGGGAGGATAATATACTATGATAGACACATACTGATCTAACATTGAAATGAAGGATTGCTAATAATAAAATAAGATTAATTGTTAGCTATATATTTAATACATTGTAATTACGGATATAGAGGAAGTATTAGTTAAGGCAATACACAGGCCAAGGCTTTGCCTGGCACAAGGGTATTTTTTGTTAATTTCTCTTTTATATAATTTGCTGATTTGTTTAAAATGATACTGTTGGCAAGATAAGTAATGTATCATGCTGGAAGACGTAAGTAAGAGGTACGAACATGCACTGATAAACAAAAACTCCCTTTTTCTGGGACCGAGGGCAACGCGATCCCAAAACTGCAAATTCAGTAAGAAAATTATAGACATTAGGTGATTAATGCTTGCACATGAATATGTATGGGTTATGTACAATTCAATGGATATGTGTTGAATGCAGATTGGAGGAAAATTATGTAATGGAGCATGTGAAAATGTATCAGAATACATGTAAAAATAGACCCAAGGCTGGAGAAACGCCATATCAGAAACTAATGAACGAAACTGAAGGACCAGACCAAGAGATCAGGGGAGGTGATGACCATTCTGGAAGGAGGGACTTTTTGGTGCCCCAAAAATGTGCAACTTTGGCCCATTTAACTATTCCATGTATGTCCAGACACAATAAGTATTGACAATAATTCTGTCTGAAATTGTATTAAAATAAAGGCAAAACTGATAAAGCCTCAATTGGGTGGATGTGTGACTCCGTTTCCCATTGTACAGACCCAACACTTAGCTTCAGTGTTGATAGCAAATTACATTCGGTTAAGAAAAAGTTCCTGTAGTTCTTTGGATCTACAAATGAAAATTATGGAAGTGTTGGAATAAATCGTGATTCAATTTACTGACAGACTTTCTAAAAGGAGATAGAGAAGGCTCAGGCAGAACACCACCAATCACCAACTAGCACATCTATCAGTTAAAAAAGAACCCATTTTCACAATTAGCAGTAATACTAGTTATACATAAATCAAAGCAGCATGACTGTTTAATTTCTATATCATTTAATATCCACATGAACAACAATGTATGACTAGGTCACAGCCATGAAATCTTTGCTATGCTTGTCACGGTTACTTTCATGCCAGCTTATTTCTAGTGTATTTTATTAATTAAAAAAAAACATATATAACATGTCTAAAGAAATGGCAAGTCCTCTGAATTCAAGAAAATTATTGCAATACACAAGGAAGGAGAAGGGGGGAAAAGGAAGATCACTGTCAGCAGAATTATCTGAGAGCAGGAGTAACAATTATGCATTACATGCAAAAGAACATGAAAGTCATCACTCGAAGCTGGGTATCTGGCCCAGAGGTAAAGTTGACAACCCTGTGTAGCAGAATACACCCCAAGGACTAATGGGTATCCGGTGGCCCAAAACCTAAGCATTGCAGCCTGAGGCTGGGAGGGATGAATTCATAGATTAATAAATTTTTAAGGCCAGAAGAAACCATTCATATAATCTAGTCTGATGTCCTGCATTGCACAGGCCACAGAATCTCACCAATAATTCATACATCAAGGCCAACTGCACCCCACTGTATGCCATTTACTTAGGTTTTGTGTAAGATGGGAAATGGCCTGATTGGAGTGTGTACAACTGAATGGGAGGTGGTGGGTGGTGGAACACAAAGCCCAGCATAGATGCTTATCATTCAGGCTCAGAGGGGGAAGCCTAGGAGAACCAACACAAAAACTTTAATTGCCTGTACTGATGCTGTGGAGGGGAACCATTGTTATAAAGCAGCAGCAGCCATACAAGCCAAGAGTCCATTACAAGAGGATTTTAGGCAGTTCATAAAAACAAAAGAACAGCCCTACTGGGTCAGACCAATGATCCATCTAGCCCAGTATCATGTCTTCCAACAGTGGCTCGTGCCTCGATTCTTCAGAAGGAATGAACAGAACAGGGCAATTTATAGAGTGATTCATTCCCTGTCGTCCAGTCCCAGCTTCTGGCACTCAGAGGTTTAGGGACACCCAGAGCATGGGGTTGCATCCATGAACATCCTGGCTAATAGCCATTGACGGACCTATCCTCCATGAACTCATCTCATTCTTTTTTGAACCCAGTTGTACTTTTGGTCTTCACAACATCCCCTGGCTATGAGTTCCACAGTTTGACATTGCGCTGTGTAAAGAAGTAAATCCTTTTGTTTGTTTTAAGGAGTAAATAACACTTCCTTATTCACTGTCTCCACACCATTCATGATTGTATAGATCTCTATCATATCCCCACTTAGCTGTCTCTTTTCTAAGCTGAACAGTCTGTCTTTTTAATCTCTCCTCATATAAAGCTCCTCATACCCCTAAATAACTTTGTTGCCCTTCTCTGTATTTTTTTCAATTTTTTTAGCCTCTCTAATCTCCTCGAGCATTTCGCAGCCAGTCACCATCCTGGTCAGGAGTATATTCCTACTGCTATACTCTTATTATTCAAGCACGGAATTTCTGTCTATAGAGAGTCTATGTTATGGTTTGATTCATTTAATATTTTTACTATATTTGACTCTGTGCTTTCTTTCACGTGTAGTGCCACTCCTCCACCAGCACAACTGACTTGGTCATTCCTGTATATTTTGTACCCTGGTATTTTGTTCAAAAGAGATAAACAAAACAATTTGTGACTAGACTCCCAGATGCTTTGTCAGCTTCAGGAAGAAACCAAGGAAGCAAGACTTTACCGAAAAGAAGTTTTTGGGGGGAATGCATCAACTCCTAGCAGAGACAAGTGGAATTCTAATACCACATAAGAGATTAGTTTGGACACAGGTTCAAGAAAATCCTTGGTGCCACATAACCTCCAAGATGAGGGAACCATATCTGTCTAAAGTATCTGAGAGTATCTGAGTTTTGCTCAAGACCTGAGCAAAAGAGAGAATTAAAACCAAAAGGGAAAAGACCAAAACAAGCACCAAAGGGTGAGCTCTCTCTCTCTCTGAAACTCCTGGCAGCTTCCCTGTTACTTGAGCAAAAACAAAGCAAAAGAACAGAACCTTGAGAGGAAAGAATGATGTATGTGAAAGGTAGAAACTCCTTCATGCTCAGTTAGAAAAAAGGAACCAATACTGCGCGAGCACACACACACACACACACACACTTTCAATACATGAAGAACATTAGAGGGCAACTGAGCCATATTGTGTTAGCATGGGTTACAACTGCACCTTCTGAATTCCTCTAGTACCACAGTAAGCATTCAGTGTTGTACCCTGCTTCATCCTAAACCCTCTGTCATTGCATCAACATAACTTTTATGCTGCCACCATGGCTTATGTTATTAGTAACATTTTGTGTCAATTGAACTCTTATGACAACACTCAAACATTACTATTTTAAAACTTAATAATCATTCATACAAAACATGTTGCTATTTTAACATTTTCATAACTACTCAAAGCAAAGAGCCACATGCATTTAATTTCAGACTGCTCTAGTATGTGTTTAAAAGAAATCCAAAACAAATGTTAGCCACTGGAAATGTTTTGATCACATGGTCCTTTTCTGAAAGTTATAGCTAACTTCATACATTAGGTTTTTTTTCCCTTCAAAATTCCCTAAAAATTTCAAGCAATTCATAAACTACAATAAGCATCTCAAACTCATCCTTTAAATCAAAACAAAGATTTAAAGAATGTTTCCTTTCCAATTAAAACGAAAATCTATTGTGGGACTACCATTCCACCACAATATCATTCTGTCCTCTGTCTTTTAATGACATTCATTCTCTTACTCCAGAAGTCCATAATTAAAGAAATAAATCAGAAAGGCAGAGAAACAGTTTTCTCCAAAGTGGCACGCTGCTCTTAAAAACTTGGCTGGTATGATTTCCATTCTTTTGTCTTTTGATAATTAGGAACAGATCATCAATAAAATTGTTTTTAGCGTAACAGCAATGCTTCAGCAAAAGTGATGCTGAGGCCTCTAAGGTGATAGTGCTATGTGGAGAATTTGTACATGTTTGCTAACAAGCAACTTACCTTTAAATCTATGAGCCCATTTCTTTTAACAGGCAAGTATGTGACACGAAAGCCTTCAGCCTCCAGATAACGGCAAGAGTCCAGCACACACTTGTGTTCTGTCTGAGTTGTAATTATATGCTTCTTTCTGGATTTATAGAATCTTGCAACACCCTGGCGTTCACATTAAATGAAAAATAAAACTGCTATGAAATTGCTTAAAAGATAGCGATTTACATAAATTCAAAGGGGCGGGACATCAAGCAAAAGGAAGTTTCTCCCAGGGTCACTCAGCATGGCAGCCTGAAAGGGCTATTGGGAGAAAGTCTCTTATGAACAGGGCCCTACCAAATTCGCAGTCCATTTTGGTCAATTCCACAGTCATAGGATTTTAAAAATAATGAATTTCATGATTTCAGATATTTAAATTTGAAATGTCAGTGTTGTAATTGTAGGGGTCCTGACCATAAAAGGAGTTGGGGGGTGGGGGCGTCACAAGGTTATTGAAGGGGGGGTTGCGGTACTGCTATCCTTATTTCTGCGCTGCTGGTGGCAGCGGCTCTGCCTTCAGAGCTGGGTGGCCGGAGAGCTGTGGCTGCTGGCCGGGAACCCAGCTCTGAAGGCAGAGCTGCTGCCAGCAGCAACGCAGAAGGATGGCATGGTATGGTATTGCCACCCTTACTTCTGCGCAGACCCCCTTTTGGGTCAGGACCCCCAGTTTGAAAAACACTGGTCTCCCCCATTAAATCTGTATAGTATGGGGTAAAAGCACACAAAAGACCAGATTTCATGGGAAAAACCAGATTTCACGGTCCGTGATGCATTTTTCATGACCATGAATTTGGTAGGGCTCTACTTATGAAGAGAATTAGCCACAACACTCCAGTAAAATTTACCTACTGGTTTATTATATGCAAATCAACATTCAATCTGAAGAGGGAGTGAGGAGATAACCCAACATCCCAGTCCCTCCTGAGACAATCACCATCCTTTCCCAATTATAATCTACAAATATTACTTGCATTAAATTAGACTTTTTGGTTATTTACAATTGCTTCCAAAAATATATAGCTTTGAATTCTGAAAGTATTTATTAAGAAAGGATTTATAATTTTCTGCTTCTTTGGAGGGAGATAACATAGAATGAAAAATCTTCTAAATATTAACAAGGAAAATAATCACCTGTGGGTTAAAGGATCAAAAACTTTGGAAAATGATTGATAATCAGGATTTCAGCCACTCTTTATGATCAAGATTTCAGTTACATGAGCACAAAACTTCACCTGGGACAAATGGATTTTTAATCCCCACGTGCATATATCAAAAACAATTAAACTAATTTTCATCAAGCCTGAAGGGAAAAAAAGTCACCTTTGCTTTAATACCAAGGATGGAAAATTTCAGGCCCAAAGGAATTTGCTGAAACAGCTAGGTTAATTGTGGGGGATTTCAATACAGTTCAAAGATTTCTTCATTTTAAGGAATAGGTAAAGTACTGCACCTGCTCCAAACCATGGGTCATGGCCAGCCTGCTCCCGCCCACTAGCCCACCACTCCCTCCAGGTATACTGTGGCATGGCAGTCCATTCCTTCATGGAACAAGTTGGTCAAACTAGGACTGTAACAAAACAAGCATACCAAGCCTTCCACTAAAATCACTGTCAATTTATTAACCGTTCAGAGTCACAGATGGATCATTGGCAGCTTGACAACAGGACTTTACTTTGAAATCTGTAATGGTTTGGGGTTATTTAGTGTATATCAGTTGTATTATAAACCAGCCATTTACCTTAATTGCTAAATTATTTGATTCTGTAGCACCACTGGTAAAAATAATCTCTCTAGGATCTGCTCCTATTAATGATGCAACTTGCTGTTTAAAAAGAAATAAAAATGATTTGCTATTTCAAAACATGAAAATTGAGCTTATCAGACACGGAGAATATGTACAGCATCTCCCAGAACATCTCCTCTACCCCGATACTAGCCCAACCTGGACAGGATTATAGATACTATCTTTAGAAATGGCATTACACACATGTACTTCCTCTTTTAATGTGGAGGAGGATTTGCATAGGTCATTCGCATTCAATACTACTACTTGTTGTGAACATAAACCCTTCTGAAGGGATGGGAAAACAAAATATGCAACAAATATTCAGTGTATTCAATATGCAATATATCCCATATGCAACCAAAATACACCCAAACTTTAACTTATGTAAAACTCACCAAAGCAAAAATCCATTCACCTAGCTTGTTGTATTAAAACGTGAAGACCGTCTAGTTAACGCAAGGGCAGATACATGCCCGAGGGGGAGATTTTTACAGGTGCCAGAGGGACTTAGCAAGACAATTCCCATGGATTTTCAAACCCCTGAGGAGTTTTGGAAAGCCTCCCCCGACACACACCCAAGTCACCACTACTTAAATTGTTTTAATATAAAATACAGTAACTCCTCACTTAAAGTCGTCCCGGTTAACGTTATTTCGTTGCTGATCAATTAGAGAACATGCTCGTTTAAAGTTGCGCAATGTTCCCTTATAATGTTGTTTGGCAGCCGCCTGCTTTGTCCACTGCTTGCAGAAAGAGCAGCCCGTTGCAGCTAGCTGGTGGGGGCTTGGAACCAGGGTGGACCAGCAGCCCCCCAGTATCAGCTCCCCGCTCCCCTAAGTTCCCTGTGCGGCAGCCGCCCAGCAGGCTATCAATTGCCTGGCAGTTCAGATGTCCCTCCCCCCACTGCCATATGCTGCTCCCGCCCTCTGCCTTGGAGCTGCTCCTGGGAGCCTCCTGCTTGCTGTGCCGGGGGGTGAGGCGGGGGGGGGGGCACTAATGTCAGGGTGTCCCCCTCCCCCCTGCTCCTGCCCCCCGCTTACCCCATCTCCACAGAGCAGGGTACACATGACAGGGCTCAGGACAGAGGGAACATGCTGGCAGCAGCTGCTGTCTCAACTTGCTGATCTACTTAAAAAGGCAATGTACTCAGAGTGGGGTCAGCGTATTTAAAGAGGCAATGCGCATCTCTCTCTCTCACACACACACACGCACAAGGTGTGTCTCTCTGCCTGCCATGCTGTCTCCCCTCCCTCCATTTGTGCTGCCTTGTAGAGTGTGAGGCTACATTGACAACAATGTGTTAACCCTTGAGGGCTCAGCCCATTTAGCAGTAAGGAATTCCCTGGGAAATATCCCACCCTCTTACTTCACCATCTCAACCAAGCTGCACAATCATCATTGCTGTGTACAGTATTAAACTGTTTGTTTAAAACTTATAGTGTGTGTGTGTGTGTGTGTGTGTATAAAATATAGTCTTTTGTCTGGGGAAAAAAATTTCCCTGGAACCTAACCCCCACCATTTACATTAATTCTTATGGGGAAATTGGATTCGCTTAACATCATTTCACTTAAAGTCGCATTTTTCAGGAACATAACTACAACATTAAGTGAGGAGTTACTGTATGTGTTTTGTTTTGAGTTTGCCGAACTATACATAACATAGTAAATTCTTAAGTTGCTAGAGATCAAGTTGCCAAGTCCCACCTCCTAGGAACTAAACCAGAATTATGCGGGTTGGGATATTTTTATTTTTTTAAGCAACTAGTTTATGAACAGGAAAACGTAATTATGTTCTGTGGTGGGGCTGAAAAGCCTCACCTGCCTGGCTCGTTCCATAGCAGACTCACTCTCCCAGCCATAGGCATGAGTCCTGGAATGTGGGTTGCCATAGTAGTGCATTAGATAAGGGAGCATGCTGTCCAAAACTCTGGGGTCCTAGAAGACAAGAGACACTTTCTTAAAAGCAGAAAAAAAGCATTTTGTTTTTCCTCCCTCTTTCTTTCCCCTGCAATACGTATGCTCTGCTTTATCCCAGACCAGCAGCCAGCTTATTCCAAACTACTGTGGATGCAAAAACATTTTACATACACTCTGTATTAACCTATCTGGTGACTGGCAAACGTTTGCTAATAACATCCTGCAACAACATCCAACGCAATCTTACAAGCCAAACCTTGAACTAAATCAGAAATCTGTCTCAGAAGAGCAAGGACTTTCTAAGCAAAAGAAACACAAGACCCCCTAACAGTCACAGGAAATGATGTAAAAGAGAATTTTGAAAAGTTTTACATTTTATCCAAGATGACCCTTCATCACTTCAGAATTTATTTAATTCAAATGACATGACAAGACAGTACTTGATAATAGCCACCACCTCAAGGTACATTTATTGTAAGTTTCCCCCAGGAATATGAAGAGGTTTCTAATTATTAAACCTCACAATATATGTGTTGATGAATGACATTCTGGCTGTAACAAAATTATGCTGAGTGGAGAAGATGAGACTTCTGGAGAAAGACCTGCTCCTCAACTGTTACTAAAGTACAAGGTTAGAATTTTAGTTGCAGACCATCGTTAAAATTAGTTTGGTGTACCACTGAATGGAGATGCTTATCACCACAGTGACCACAACAAAGATGGTGAGTGCCTTAAACTGGGTAAACAACTGGACTTTCTTTTAAGCACAAATAAGGCAGTCTCTTCTCAATCCCTCCATGTTTTCAATGTTCCTTGGGAAGAGTGCAGTGAGAAGGAGTGGGTGCTGGGGAAAGCCAAGATGTAATTGGATAGGAGATTATGTACACTATGAGAACAAGAAGCTTGAGTTTGATGTGGTAAGAGAAGGAAGCTAATAGAGAGATTCAGTGTGGGAAGGAACGACACATCAAGAACAAATAAGGAAGAGTAGATATTGGGCTTCATTACAAGGTGATCATTCTTCTGGCAAGAATACAGCTCTTCCCATAGTTACTCGTGAGCACTCCGATTTGCTAATTGAAGTCTGCATTCCCCATCATTAAGGTTAAGATTTTGTCACAGTTATTTTTAGTAAAAGTCACAGACAGGTTTGCTGGCAATAAACAAAAAAATTCATGGAGGCCCATAACCTGTCTGTGACTTTTACTAAAAATAATAGGGGTGAGGAGTTGATGGGGGATGACTGAAGCTTAAGGGGTGGGAGATGAGAGCCCAAGCCCTGCTGCGGTGGGAGGGGTCTGCATCCGCCCCCCGCCCTGAGCTGCCCGAGAGCTTCGGCACAGGGCTGAGGCGGACAATGTCACGGAGATCTCTGGAAGTCACAGAATCCATGATATCTTATAAAAATATATATATATGGAAATATACCTATCTCATAGAGCTGGAAGGGACCTCATCGAGTCCAGCCCGCTGCCTTCACTAGCAGGACCAAGTACTGATTTTGCCCCAGATCCCTAAGTGGCCCCCTCAAGAATTGAACTCACAATCCTGGGTTTAGCAGGCCAGTGCTCAAACCACTGAGCTATCCCTCCCCCCATCTGGTTACAACTATAGGGTTCATTCTAGGGCACTAGTGTATGTTCACATCATTTTACCAACCAGAGGAGTAGTTGCCTGGACATCCATATACAACGGCCGGAGCGTGGATTCTTCACCAAGGCCTTTTTCTAGAGAGGAAAAAATATATACACTACAATGATAGCTGCCCAGCAAGCACAAGGGACAAGTAAGGACGCAATGCGAAGGAGAGGAGAAAGGCAAAACTTTCCAACAACAGGAGCAGACAGTGGTGCAGGAGAAGAAATCAGGGGACCCATAGTGAGCATGGAACCTTTCTAATGAGAACATGCACCACACTGGGCACTCCAAAGGAGAACCAGTCACGACCTGTACTGCTAGGATAGGGGGCAAAGACACCCCCTGCATTCTGACAAGTGGCCTTTTCAGCCAGCCCAGGGGAGCAGGCAGCATGGCGTACAAGAAAAGAAACATCAGGAGGGCTGAACCTTTAACACCCTTTTCTGTCTGAGGTGCTTCTAGGGCCGCCATCACTGCTGTGTCTGACAAGCCAGTCACAACACTCGGGTGGACCATTATCCCCGTGTCACAGGTGACAACTGAGGCACCGAGAGACTTGCCCAAGGGCACTCCGGGTGTCTGTGGGGGGCGGGGAACGGAGGCCAGGTTAGCACTATACCCAATGGGCTCCCTTCTCATGGGCCATCCCCGCCCCCTCCCGTGCCCACCAGCCATAGCAACCCGGGCACCACACGGCGGCCGGGCCAAGCCCCCCGCTCCCCGCGCTAGCTCGGCGCCTTTACCGCCGCCCTTGAGCCCCGCCAGGCCCTCGGGCCCCTTGGCCCAGCCCCCCCGCGCGGACACGCCCCACTCACTCTCGTGGCGCCGGGCCGCCCCCGAGAGCCGCCGGGCCGGCACACCCCCGAGCCCACGGGCCCCCCGCAGCGCCACCACCCTCCGCAGCAGCAGCAACATCCCCGCGACAGCCAGGCCCGGAAATAGCTCCTGCCCTTTCACCCCGACCCACGTGTCGTCATCGCAGCGCGCCGGAAGTGACGGAGGAGTGGCGCGTGCTGGCCGGAGGCGAGGAGCGAAGCGAGGAGCGAGGTGAGGGCTCCCCGGGCGCCCCCAGGAGTGGGCTGGGCGGGAGCGCGCCACAGAGCGCCTGGAATCAGCCGGGCCCATGGAGCTTCCCGCGGCCGCAGGGTCCCGGCTCCGCACCGTGCAGGCGCCAGGGCTTGCCCCAGCCCTGCCAAGGTGGGGGCCTCGCTAATGTCCTGTGGCAGTGAGTTCCGCAGCTGCCCGCCGCAGCCTCTCCTCTAAAGCCTCCGAGTCCCTGTGCTGTGTGACAGGGCGAGCAGGGACCTGGCCCCCTCTGGGGCGGGGACATCGCTCTGCGCCTCGCTCATGTTCTGTTCCGATTGTTTCCTCTCTGAGCTAAACTGGCCAGTCTCCTTTCCCCAGAGAAGCGTTATTCCTCGCTGCTGTAGCTCATTACTTTTTTCCCTAGTCTTGATTATTGACCATGCCCCTCTTGGGACAACGTAGGGGAATGGAAGCAGCCTCTTCTTTGCTCTGGTCTAAGCTATTCACAACGTAGCTGCTCAGAAATGTCCAGTCTCTGACCGTTTTCTGTATATGCTTCTTTATGTGAGGGAAACTTGTTGGAGAAGGACACTCTGTGTTCTGGGCATCACACAAAACGTCTGGCTGCAAAATGCTTTATGGCCAAGGAGACTATGCTTGTCCTGGTTAGAATAATACCAGAGTTTAAAAAGCAACAGGTAGTTCAAGGAGTTTTTTGCAGCCTTCAGATGAACAGTTTTGGTTGCTGCATAATCTGGAAGGAGGCAGTTTTACCTAGCATGGGGTTTTTTTTGGGGAGGCGGGACAAAATAAAACTAGTAACCTCTGTCTGTTGGCCAAATGTATTTGCCAACTGTGAATGCAGAACAGAGTTTATGACACTTCAGAGTTTATGACACTTCATAGGAACTGAGAAAGAAGTATAAAACCTAGACTGACATTTGTGTGGATGAGCTTCTGTCACAATCTGAGCCCTGTTTGTAACAGATTATGAATATATAATAATTCTGATTTTCACTGACAAAGTGTGAGTGCTTGAGTTCTAGGGACTGGAGGGGGCAGGGAGAGTTTCTTAGTGTCCATTTGGATGATGAAAATGCTTTTTCAAATCTGGTTAGCTAACATAATTTGAAACCTCCTTTTACATCTAGTGCAGGCTCCCCCCAGGTTATAACGTGACCAGCCAAATTAAAGGTGCTAATTTGTATCTTTACTAAATGTAAAAGGGGGGTTGAAATTATGCTAGCTAACGGAGTTTTAAAACACTATAATTTGTTGTCTGGACAGGTCTTTAATGCCAGACATCTGTTATGCTGTTCACCATCCTGTTAAATATATGAACTAAGTAATACTATTATTTATCATTAATAGTCCAAAATTATGCAATAGGTGTTTGTTTTTGCATCTGGCATGTTGGACCATTCCAGTGCATTGGCACACCCTAACCCATTGTAAAGTCTGCCTTTTATCTAATCCTTCCTATCTCTCCCTTACCTTTGCTCATTGTTTCAAAATGCCATTTGTCTGCACCGTATTGGACAGGGGAATTCCAAGCTATTAGAAATTCTCTCTAATCCAATAAATGCATGTCTAATTGAGTATCTATTAAATGTAGGTATTAGAGAGACTGTATGGCTCACTGGCAGATTAGAAAAGGGATACAGAGGCTTTCAATAACAAGGTCATCATTCATTTTCACCTCAGGTTGGTAGTAACTGAAAGTTATTACCATCAGATGACTGACCAGTGCCATATGTGAAATGAGTTATTAGTCTTAGTCCAGTTTGTACTGGACATGCACCACCACCACAGATTGAACAGGCATGGCAACTGAACTCAGCTCTAATTCCTAAAAGTGGTCTCTCCAGCAGGCAGCGGCATATCAGTGGGGCAGTGTGGAGAATGGTGCACTGCAATCAGGATGGATTTGATTTAAATCCTAGTCAGGAAGACTCTATATAATCATGGATTTCTACATGAAAGTGCGTTCTTGTTGGTTGTTATAACCTTAATACGTATTCTTCACAACTCAGAGATAGATGCAGGTTTCATTTTTAGAAGGTACACACTATACATTTTTAAAGTGATTCATTTTGAAAACTTTTCAGATTAGTTTTACAGCTATATCAGAAAATGAATGATTGATTGGTTATTTCATTTACCAAAGGTAATTGAAGCAGATATTTATGAAGTCACTGGGAGGTGAACGATCTCCAATTCAACAGGTTAATCATTAATATTTGGAGGATTTTCTTGCCATGCTGTATTAGGAGGAGAACATCACCAGACAGACATTTAAATTGTTTTATTAACTAAAACAACAACGTTATGTATACTGGATTTTTTTTCTTCAGCAGCAAACATAATATTTTAACAAAACAAGCATTTGAATTTTTGAATTTAGTTAAACATTCAATTTTTTTAAAATCAGGTTTGTTTCTGTTAAAATTGTTTTTAACTAAAATAGTTAAATGAAATATTAAAAAAAAAAAAAAAATTAAATCGACTATGTCAGCCAGGTCAACATGAGAAACTTAAAATATTGGCTTCTGCAGTTAACTCGGTCGTTTTCACCTTCATTTTCCTGTTTGTTCATAATCTGGAAAAGAAAAACAAGCTTTCCTGCTTTTTCAGGTTACAAGAAACAGGTTATTTAATTAATATTTTAACTTGGAAAATGTGAAACAATGAAATGAAGTTCTTAAAAAATGAAATAATCATTGCTAAAAAAAAGTAGCAATGTTAACTTCATATTTAAATGTGAACAAGACTGAACAAGTACAAAAGAAAAGAAAATGAAATTAAACAGGAAACACATCTAGCAACGGTGAATTGGATTTAAATCATGATTTAAATCACTAGTTAGGAAGACGTGATTTAATCATGGATTTCTACATAAAAGTGCATTCTTGTTGGTTGTTATAACCTTAATACATATTCTTCACAACTCAGAGATAGATGTAGGTTCCATTTTTAGAAGGTACACACTATACATTTTTAAAGTGATTTATTTTGAAAACATTTCAGATTAGTTTTACAGCTATATCAGAAAATGAATGATTATTTGGTTATTTCATTTTTACCAAAGGTAATTGAAGCAGATATTTAGGAAGTCTTTGGGAGGTGAACTCCAATTCAACAGGTTAATCATTAGTATTTGGAGGATTTTATTGCCATGCTGTATTAGGAGGAGAACATCATCAGACAGACATTTAAATTGCTTTATTTAACTAAAACAACAACGTTATGTATTCTGGATTTTTTTCTTCAACAGCAAACATATAATTTAACAAAACAAGTATAAGACTTTTTGAATTTAGTTAAACATTCAAGTTTTTTTAAAATCAGGTTTGTTTTTGTTAAAATTGGTTTTAACTAAAATAGTAAAATGAAATATATATTTAAAAAAAATTAAATTGACCATGTCAGCCAGGTCAACATGAGAAACTTAGTCGTCTTTACCTTCATTTTCCTGTTTGTTCATAATCTGGAACAGAAAAACAAGCTTTCCTGCTTTTTCAGGTTCCAAAGAATTTCTCAATTTCTAATGAATTAGTCCAAAGGAAGAAAATATTCTTTCTACACTGGCAGAAGAAGCTACTGCTGTTAAAAGTGAGATTATCACTTCAACCGTCTTTGAATCCAAGTGCTTAAGTGACTTCCACCAGTTCACTGGTGTGACTTTCTTTAAAACATCATCAGCAAACATATATTTCTTGAATGATTCACCCTTAGCTCTGAAGTTTGTTTATAGTTGGCATTATGGCGGGATGATTGCTGGATTTCCATGTCATAGCCAACTCCTCTTCTTCAGCAGTTAAGGTTTGACCCTGGTAGCGAGTATTGAGAATATTTGCAAGAAAATGAGCTGCAGATAGTGCTTCTCCAATTTGTTTTTTAATGCTTGTAATTTAACTTTGCATATTTCTCTTTTAAGATCTTACTCAGTTCCTTCCAAATTTCAACAGCGTCAGCAATAAAACAGCTATTGCCCTGCATTTTGTTCAAGGCTACAGAAATAGGCTTCAGGGTACTCAGCATGTGTTCAACATTTCTCTTAAGCCCAATGCTGAGAACTTTGGCTGTGACAGTGCCCTCTATTTTTTCACGATTTTGTTCACAAACTGTCATCAGATTAGGCCAGTTCTTGATATAGTGCTAAAAACAGTCCACTACTGAGTTCCATCGCACGTCTTGTAGGAGAGTTAGCTTGGTTCCTCCCACTTTTTTCAGAGCAGCTGCTGCAAAGTGGTTGTTACGCAAGTATTTTGCAATTTCAACATTAGCCTTTATTTCTGGTACACTGAAGTCTTTGGCTAGGAGGTGCATCAAATGAGCACTGCAACCGTATGTTATTAGCTCTGGAC